GAGTTCTTACCAGGGACCTGTCGGGCTGCAGGGCGGACGTCTCCGGTCTGCGTGCTCTATTATCTGCTTACATCTACGTACCCCTGTTTGCTATTTCATCTCACCCACTGACTTAGTATAGTCTACTGATTCCTCTCATTTACTGACACTGAACTCCCCTATAATGTTTCCTCTTACGCTACCGGCGTTGTGCTACTTGGCGTTAACTGGACACCTGTTATTTACTAACGCGCAACTCGAATGATTCCCTCCTAGTGCAACACGACTCGTTCTTCGCTTTGGTGAGCTCTGACTTTACAGGCGTGTCCGTCCTCCGATTCTGTCGTCTCTAATCACAGCCTTTTAGTTGTAGCTCCAAAATTACAGTGTAATGGAAACAATAACAAAAGCCGTTCTCAGCTGCATGCTACTGACAGCAATGGCCTCAGCTTTCGTTTGCTCTCGTGGAGTCCGGGAGGTGCTACTGAAATCAAAACACCGCAACTGCTTGACGTGTTCCTGATTCCTGGACTTGCTTCGGATTGAGCACTCCATATGCCGACCGCACAAACTAACGCGGGAAACTGTGGTAGATAAAACCCCGGTATGACTAATGTGTTCTGTCCCTACTTATCAATGCATTTAATATTATTTACTGGAAAATACTACTGTTGGATAAATGATATTGTCGACTTGAAAGTCAGTAGTGTAAGGATTAAGTGTGAGGACATTAGTGTAAGGACTAAGGAGAAATGTAGAGTGGCTAATGCGTGTTGCTCTTTTCGTCGCGGATTCTTTGATTTGCACTTTGGTATTTTCTTTCCCCGCTTTCGAATATGTGCTCGACTTGTAAGCAGAATGTAGCTAGTCCTTCCGATAATGTTTAAGTTTGCTTGTTTATGCTTACATATAGCTAGTTGAAAAGTTTATTCGAAAGGAAATCTTGGAATTGTTTCCTGTTTGTATATAAGCGTCATTTTTTATTTATTTTATTTATTATAATAACGTATTGCTGTCTAGTCCCATCTCTACATAGAATGCTTGATAAGCTGCGTATGTGGCTGACGCCTCCTATTTGTCCGTTCACCAGACTACTCGAGCGGCTTTGGTGGCAAATTTGGCGTTCAGAAGGACCGACAGGACAAATCAGCGGCCGGCTGGGACCATCTGGAGACCGTCGACAAACATGAGAGCCAAAAAGGTACGCTCCCGAGCACTACGTGCGTGTCACCTCAATTGGGTTGCCTTGTCTGAAATGTGTGCTTGTAACGTGTTCGCTGTAGGTAATTCAATCTGGGATTATATGACTTCCGTGCTTTGATCTTGTCGTAAACCCTTGTGAAACCTTTAGCAGTTTTTTATTGTGTTCCTTGCTTCGTTCTTTTGGCGACGAAATGCAACGCTGTTTCTTTTTATGCGTATATTTTTATATTGACTTCGCCTGCTGTGTACAGACTACAAGACCGGCTTTGGCGGCAAGTTCGGCGTTCAGACGGACCGCCAGGACAAGTCTGCCGCCGGCTGGGACCACATCGAGAAAGTGGAGAAACACGAGAGCCAAAAAGACTACGCTAAAGTGAGTCACAACTCTGGCACCTTGAAACTTCTCTGAGACTCGCGCACGATTGAATCGTTTCTTTTCGTTGTAATAAATCTGGCATCGGTGTTTATGATATTCTATGTTTGATTTTAGAACTCGCATTGTCTTCGTCTTCATCGTTTTTCACACTACTCGCTGTTCACAGGGCTTCGGTGGCAAGTTCGGCGTCCAGTCGGACAGACAGGACAAGTCTGCTCACGGGTTCGGTGAGGGTGGCGAGGAGCGAGTCGGCACCAACTATCAACCCACCAAGCCGGACAAAGGTGAGACAATGGGCTGGTGAGGAACTCTTCTCGGGCACTGACACCCTTAATAGCATAGTTTGTTAGGTACACATGTTTTTGTACTATATAGAAAGCAAAATACTTCGCTGAGTTAATTTACAAATATTTTACGCTAGTTTGTTACATATTGTCCCGTGGCAGCAGCTCGTTCGCCCAATATGTCCGTGTTCATTATATTCATCGTTCACCTGTCTGCCCTCACAGACGTGGGTGGTTCGGTGAAGGCCTCCAACCTGCGCTCTCGGTTCGAGAACATGGCCCGTCAGAGTGAGACAGAGGCCGCCCAGCGTGCGGAGGAGGAGCGCCAGCGCCGCCAGCAGCGCGACGCCCAGGAGAAGGAGCGCGCCGCCGAGCAGGAGCGCTCCAGGAGGGAGCAGCTGCGTCAGGAGGAGGAGCGCAAACAGGCGCTCCTCAAGGAGGGCGAGGAGCAGGCGGCGACCGCGGCGGCGCTCAGGGAAAAAGCGGAGGATGAGAGGCGAAAGGCGGAGGCGGAGGCGGCTGCGGAGAAGGACAGACGAGAGGCAGCTGCTGCTGAAGAGAGGCAGCGGGCGGCAGCAGAGGCGGCGGAACGGCAGAAGGCGGAGACTGAGAGACAGAGGGCGGAATCTGAGAAGGCTGCGGCGGCGGCGGCCGAGGCGGAAAGAGCGCGGAAGGCAGAGGAGGAGAGAGCACGGCGGGAGGAGGCAGAGCGGCGGGAGCGGGAGCAGCAGCGGCTGCAGGAGGAGGAGGCTGCGCGCCGCGCCGCCGAGGAGCAGGCGGCCAGGAGGCAGCGCGAGGAGCAGGAGGCGGCGCGCAGGAAACAGCAGCAGCAGGAGGAGGAGAGGATGAAGCAGGAGTCGCTGGCGCAGCTGGAGGAGGCGCAGAGGAACGCCGAGGAGGAGCTACAGAGGATGAGGGACCAGCAGGCCGCGGTAAGTCGCGACAGAGGACGTACTAGATCCGTCAGAGTTCATTGTCAGCTGACAGGAAAAGTTATGGTAGACAGAGTTCAATCACGGCAAACGAGAGATAGTTCTGGATGACATTGGTTAGTCTCATTAGGCAGGGCATTCCTGGCCGAGTTTAGTGACGTTGGTGTAAGAGAGCACTGCTTCACGTGCGCTGGTCCATGACGTAGCCTTATGCTATCGTCTTCCATCAACCTGCAGTGCTTAACAAAGATTGCATAAAAGTCTATTCTGCTGTGTTACTTTCAACTGACCTGACGTCCTCTTATCGACAGGAGGTTGGCATCCCTCAGACTGGAGTGTCAGCGCGGGCGCTGTACGACTACCAGGCCGGTAAGTTCACAGCCCGGCCGAGTCCCTATAAATTTGCTCATATGTAAATGTAACTGAACCTACGCATATAGCTGATAGGTATTCATCAGGATACATTATGCTGACAAAATATCTTATTTTAAATGTTCCGATTTTTTTAGGATCGGTAATGAATGATTGTCTCCGAATACGGTAGATAGTCACAGTCCGGCATTCAAGGGTATGCTAATTTCACATTGTGATTTTATTTTAGAGACTCGCGAAAGTAACGAATATGCCTCTGCATATGATGGTGAATTGAAGTTAGTTTTGAGTTTTTGGCTGACCCGAAACTGTGTGCTCCCCAGCCGATGACGACGAGCTTACGTTCGACCCGGATGAGGTCATCACCAATATCGATAAGGTACGTCTGTTCTGCGCTCTGCTGACGAAACTTCGGTTACCTTACTAGTTTGGAGCCGTAAATTTGGATGTGTGGTGGTTTTATCTTTGCTGTAAACATTGACTTTTAGCATCGCTATCTTACATGTTTTTCGTTTCGTGTAGCCAATGACTGCTGTTGAAACTTGGAATACGGACGTAAGGGCCCACACAAGCATGGAACACACCGTCTCCGTGGATTGCTTTGACGTCCTACATGGCTGATTCGCGGGAAGTGACGTCCCGACCAGTGACTGAGTGTAGCTTGCACTCGGAGGCAATGGACGTCCTCACTTGGGATGATGGGGAGAGGTTCTTGGAAATGATGTTCACCGTGTCCAGTGTGCACCAACTGACGATCACCTCGCCCTGTTTCAGATCGACGACGGCTGGTGGCGCGGCGAGTGCCGCGGCATGTACGGCCTCTTCCCGGCGAACTACGTCGAGCTTCTGTAGACGTTGGGGCCTGTCCGCTCACAAAACGGTCTGCTCAGTTTATACACAGTGCTGGGTGAGCCACCGCAACGAAACACCGGCCGCCACACCGGGCCGGTAGGCATTTGTTATATATCGGTAGTGTATATTTTGTATTGTGTATGCGTGACGTATCAATGGCTTCACTGATATCGCTTTCTATGCCATAGAACAGAAGAGACTGTTCTCATAAAAGCTTCCAAGCTTGAGATGAGAGGTGTGGTAATCTTGCGAGTGTGGTAATCTTGAGGCGGGCTTGGCCCTCAAGGTGTTATCTAGATCTTGCCTAATGATCATGGCTAGTTGATGAGATTTTTGGCCGCGCTCAATGTATCCAGTCTGGATAGAATGAATCATTGATGAGTGTTTGAGAGTTCCATTCCTGATTTTCCTAGTGTGAAACTATCTGTGACGATACGATCGAGGTACAACCTTAGTCGTCATATGACACGATCACAACCGAGACGAGGCGGTGAAATAGAACAACTGATTGTGATTTCTCTAAATATTCGTATAGGCGTGGTGCTGTTTGTAAACAAGCGGTGGAACTGAGCAGGTGATCGCGTACTTTTGAATGGTTGGCACAGGCTGCCAACGATGGGCTTTCGCGATTTTTCATGCTGAACTTTGGGTTATTTCGGGCCTCGAAACGTGCGAACTGAACCGTGTGTAACAGTGAGGCTGTCAACACGCATTCACTTGTCCAATGACCGGCGTTGATTGCGGTTCTGAAGTGGTGTGCTATGCTACCGCTGGCTTTGAGCATCGGCGCAGCGAGTGTAATTGTGCCGATCAGGGCCAACCGCAGAAACCCGTTCACTGTCAGAGCCAGAGAGCGGCGCCGGGGCCAGAACTTTGTCATCATCGTTTTACCACGCATCGATTATTATTTAATAATAAACAATCTGCCCCACACGGGTCAATAGAGTCGTGTTCTGTGGGGAACAGAAATGGACACAGTGGCCATTCACTGTCCGGACTAGGTTAGTGGTTTCCTTTCATTTATTCGTTCGCCATATGCATCATCAAGAGCACACAGCCATACAGCCACTATTTCGGTAGGCATATGAATGGCCGCAGCCCGCAACATACAAATTAGCACAAATGCTAATTATACCAGTGAATGGGCAATACGACGCAGTATCATGGTCATTAGACCCCATGCACCGTGACGCTACGCTACACTGCAACCGCAAACACCCGCGGCATCGCGTATTGCAACTATCCGTGCGGCCGTATCTGCCTCTATAGGACTCCCAGGTGTCATGATTGCCATGACTAAGAATCCGTCTAGCATACAGCGCACAGGCATATCTCGGCAATGTGACGGGATAGCCGTGCTAACCATGGACCTGCTGTCTATTCGAAGTCACGGGCGAGAACCATCCTGGTTGTCACATTATCGAACGCGAGAATCGGAGTCGCCCAGCTATCATTTACCATGAGTCTCTCGAGCTCGACTAGTGAATAAACGCGACTACATTGACGATCCATTTCCAGATCATAACTGACCAGCAGCTAACGGGTCACAAGTTTCATGCGGCACGCCTGCAGCGGAGCCGACCGATCACCACATTAGCAGAGTCAATAAATCCCTCACACCGAGTCCTCAGTCGGGTCGGCTGTCTGCGGGCTGCTTCCTTCCGTTCACGTCGCCGAGGTATCCCCCGCAACCTCAGCGCGTCGCTTCTTCAAGACGTTCTTGATGAAGAACTCTCCGGCTTTGTAAGAGCTACGAACCAGCGGTCCGCTCGCCACGTACAGGAAGCCAAGTTGCTCTCCGACCTCTCGCCAGTGGTCGAAGCGCTCTGGGGTCACGTACTCGACCACCTTCAGGTGTCGTTTGGTGGGCTGCATGTACTGGCCGAGCGTCACACAGTCCACGCCGGAGGCGCGCAGGTCTGCCGGGGAGACGGGGATGATGGTCAAACGGCAGGCTGTGGTGAGCAAGGACGAGGACGGTTTAGCAATGGTTGATGACAGCTCATCTTACTGAAAACGATTGCTTGGGTAGGTATACCGTGAACTGTCAGAGGTCGAATAGTACAGCACCTGGGGTCCACAAATCAACTTGTCAGCTGTCATTTACCCACAGATAACTGTCACTGGCATCGCACACGCCTGTGCAAAACAATAAATTACGTTACACACAATGCGTCATTCTTTCGTCTCGCAGCCGTACCTTCCATGGTCTGTCGGATCTCGTCGTCCGTTTCGCCGAGGCCGAGCATGATGGAAGATTTGGTGACCAGCTCTGGTCGGAGCCGCTTGGCGTGTTCCAGAACCGTCAGTGACTGCCTGCGAGCGCCGGACACGGTAGAATGAGAATCAGCGAGATAGGTACAACACACGAGCACGTTCTACATACCGTCGAACAGCGCAGCACCCCGGTACGCCCGAGCCGAATGAGGAGACATTAAGCAGCGATGGGATAAGCTGGCTGTCTGAAAGACGAATAGTTCTTCACGTCCATAGTGGTGATCACTGACACTGAATGACTGGTCGAAAACCTAACATTCTGAGTAAGTACGGGGCAGTCTGAATGAACACCTGAACTCAGTAAGTCAAGCGAGCGAGCAAATAGGCTGCAGGTCCACAGTTATACCTAAACGGTGGCCGTTAGCACCGCCACAAGTGACTTAGGTACTCTCTTCCTGACCTGTACTTGGCCCGCCGGTCGCGGACGGCCGGCGTCAGCCGCTCCACCGTCTCTATGTTGTGCGCGAACACGTCCAGTCCGCAGTGGACCACCGTGGCCACGCAGTCCAGGTCGCCCTGAAAGTCGCCGGCCAGGCACTCGACCAAGATGGCGGCATTCCTGGAGGTGGAAGGTCGAGTGATTAACACGGGTGGAGGACAAAGCGAGAACGGAAACCGGACTCTGTGGAGATGGGGTAACTGACAGGATACACACATCGGTGATGAGTACACATGAATTGCTGTATGAGTGAGGTAATTGGTGTAGATCGGCAGGGACGGGGCTCAGTTTTGCGTGATACGTAACAGCATAGCTCAGTCGTGAAAAGAACGATAAATATTAAATGCCATACCAGATGTTTTCTATCAAGCATCTATTAGTTGCATATTGTAAATGAAAGGTGTTAAAATGTGTCAGCAATGCATTTGTACAACTTACCTTGAAGTACAGACTCTTTCAAGTCATTACTCAAATACACATCCATGAGACGCACCTGCGTTTGATTTCGGCGGCTGTTTTGGCGAAGTGCGCGGCACCGCCGTCGGGCAGGTCGTCCCTATCCACGCTGGTGAGTACCACATAGTCGAGTCCCCAGCTGGCCACCGCTGCCGCTGTGTTCTCCGGCTCCAGAGGGTCCGGCGGTGGCGGTGCGCGTGACGTTTTCACCGAGCAGAACCGACAGCCGCGAGTACAAGTGTCACCGAGCACCTGTGGTAACGGCGGTTCACCGCTGGATGGTCACTACATCGTCATGAAATCGACACTGTTCAGTTCTCACCGACATATACGAGACTGGTAAACCAGTGACACAACCAACACAGAGACACCCACACAGAGACACATTCAGAGAGGAAGCCTCAACAGTGACACACCCGCACCGACATCGAAGACGAACCACACAGACAAGACAGCCCAATAAATGACAGAACGAAGTCTCACTCCGATGACACGTGTTACTCAGCGTTCGTTATTTAGGGTTTATGCCCGGAAAATCAATAATGCTTGTGTATCCGCAACAAAGGGGCCAAATAGGTCAATAAACCGTCAGGCAGTTCAAATAAAAATAGCTCCGCTGAATTACACAATGACTGGTACGTAAATGGGGTTGTAATGCGAAAAAGATAAACACGCTCTGGTGTGCCGACTTACCATGATGGTGGCGGTAGCGGTGGCGTCCTCACCGCCACCCCAGCACTCGCCGATATTCGGACACTTGGCCTCCTCACAGACGGTGTGCAGGTTCAGACCGCGCAGCGTATCTTTCAGCTTAGTGTAGTTCTTCCCTGTCAGAAACAAAATACATACGTTTAGGGGACATACATCGGGAGGTATCGCGGCATTAGCCATCGAAACTAGCATAAGATCCAATTTAAATCGATATAGAGCACGAAGCTATAAAACTACGAAATAGGATATCGATAAGAAACGAACTATCACATACGGTTTTCACACAGTAGCTACATATCTCACACTCAGATCAAATATTTCATCAAAACGTACAATTCACGAGTGGTGACACACTGCCGGTCAAGGCAGCGCCACCCGCTCATTCCCCGCCACCTAAACCCCGCTCTCACCGATAGGTATCTCCGTTTTGAGCCAGGGCGGCAGCCGGAGTCTGCCCCGCTCGCCGGGCTGTCGCCGCAGCTGGCCCGAGTAGCTGCTCCACGTGCTGCCGGCGGGCACCTCCCCGGAGAGGAACTCCTCCAGGCCGGGCCCCGTGCGCGGGTCGGCAGCCGCTCGGCCGGCACTGGACCGCTCGGCGGTTCCCTCGCCATCAGATGCACTGGCTGTCTTAGTAGAGGACTGTAGGGATGACTGTGACACAAAGAGCAACAAACCCCATCACCATACAACATGTGTGAGACTTCCATAGAGTCCACAGATGAATGAGTAAAGGATTTTTTTTAAGTCAGCATCAACAAATGATGTAGGTACTAGGTACACAGATGAAGACTAGCTGGAGCCTGCCAAGCCAAGACCAAGATGAGTGACAGGGAAAAGTTCAACAACCTAGGTGCAAGGCAAGTAAAGCCATCAAATATGATCACTAACTGCAGGTTGTACAGGGTGTCTCAAAAGTTCGCTTACAGGTACCAGCCATGCTTTTTTGTCAATAATTCTGAATCAACATGAAATTAACAGTCGAACTTTTGCATGGGCATTGGTAACAACCTTCCTCAAGCAGCTTCATTGTTTTCAAGCGCATTCGACCCTTCATGAGCTCACAAAAAGGGTTCACCTCTGACCATGGATCAGGCATGAAAATGGAGGTCGCATACTCGGGTCGGCTGAGAAACTCTCTGCTTCACGAGTATTGGGAATGGTTAGGTCGGAAATGACACATGGCAAAGTGTCGGCGAGGATGAGTACAACATGATGGTCATCTAATAAAAACGGTGGCTAAAATTTTTGAAGGACAAAACCATGCGAGACTAACAGCGCTTTGAACGACCCTTGTACCGCAGCAGACTCGTGCTCCGGAAAGCAGCTGAAAATGCAGTCCTAACTATTGAAAACTGACTAGAAGCTCACAGACAGAGGTTACCCAGTTTCAAAAATTGCAGGTCATCATAAAATAAAGACAAAATATCATTTAAAATTGTTTATAATATCTATAACGCTAAATTTTGAGGGAAAATAATGCGAAAATCGTCAATGCCGAGGACAAGTGACCCTCCAAAAGTGTCAATTAATGTAAAGTTTTATCTCACGAAGTTTCAAGAGGCAGATCTGGAGCAAATAGCTTTCTTTTACACACAAAATCCGGACAAAACCGCACGATGGACAGGTTTTGGCCGTTTACAAAGCAGAACCTCTCCTGAGGAAAACACTCTGGAACCCAGCGAAGGTCTTGGCATTGGGAATGACGAGCGTTCGGGATTTGCAAATTTTGCAAATGTGTCTAAGAAACAGATGGCCGACACATTCTGCTACGATATGCTGCGAAAAATTTGCCCCTGGCACTTCCCATTTGTTCAGGAATGGGGTTGTTTTGAAAAGGAAAATGGTGCTTGGGAGGTCGGCGCCAGTCATTCATGAAGGAGTTAGCGCCAGAGAAGACCTACAAAATACTCACGGATGGTGTCGATGCAAGCTATCGGCTTTCAGGGAGAAGCGGATGTTGCCGGGAAGCTCGTAAAACCTAAATCCGACGCAGAAACTGCGGGGGATTCCCCTACAAGAGCTTGAAAGCTGGTAACCTTTTATCAGCCTCCGGCAGCTGACGGAGTTACGAAAATCGGTATGGGCAAATATTTTTGGAGATACAGCAAAGGGTTTGGTTTCCAACCTTCCGAATCAGTTGTCGAAGCATGCATATTTATCTAGTGTACACACGGACACCAAAACTTTAGATTTTTGGCCGGTTCTTATATGCTTTATTGACATGGGAAATGTGTAAACGAACTTTTGAGACACCCTGTGCACTGATGAAGACATTTCTCATGCACTGATAATGCTCAGTAGAACAGTCCATTACATTAACATGATTTTAGAAATAAATGTCAATAAATACCTAACCTACACCTATCTTAACCATTCCACTACAGTATTTATATGTATATGACATGACTCCACATTGCCTACCTGAGCCCAGATTCTGAAGTTGTTTCTGGTACACCCTCTAAGTTGAGATTTAAAAACAATCATGATGTCACTTTATTGAAGTCACTTGTTCATTTCGCCTCTGAAAAAAGAAAGAAGAAACAATGTTGACAATTTTGATCATCTACCAAGTATAAATTTTTATTAATTTCTGCAGCATTTATAGTGTTGGACTTACTTATACTTATACTTACTTATACTTATAAATCGCGGAATTTAGAAAGGCCACTTGGCCTCTGGGATCCGGTCTTGTCGAGCTATTTGTCTGTATTGTGTGATGTTTCAGTCGTATGGGTGAGTCATGTGCATGAAGCGTGCCCAGTGACTGTCGAGCCTGGCCTTGAATGAGTCGACTGAAGGCGCATCAACAACAGTCGATGGCAGCGAATTCCAGTCGTTCACGACTCTCACGCTGAACGCGTTTCGTCTGACTCTGGAGTTGGTCCTGGACTTGGAAAGCTTCCATGTGTGTCCACGGGTCCGGGACGTCGCTGCTCGCGTAAAGAACTTGGACGCGTCAACGTCAACTCCCCCGTGGAGCACTTGGTAGACCGTTATCATATCGCCGCGGCGACGACGGTAGTAGAGAGACGGCAGGTTAAGTGTCTGGAGCCTCGCCTCGTAGGGGAGTTCGCGGATGCTGGCGACGAGCTTTGTGGCTCTCCTTTGGACCCTTTCAATCCGCTTCTGGTCCGCTCTGTTGAATGGCCCCCAGACCGCGTTGGCATACTCCAGATGGGGGCGGACCATTGTCCGGAAGAGCAGTGGCAACGTGGTTTCGTCGATGACGCAGAAGGATCGCCGAATGACTGCTAGGATGTGGGAAGCCTTGGAGATGGCGGCCGCCGCTTGCTCTCGGAATTTCAGCTGGTGGTCCATCTGCACCCCCAGATCCTTCTCCACCAAAACTTGTACGAGCTCGGTGCCTCCCATGTGATACCCCTGCCTGTCGTCTTGGCGACCCAAGTGCAGGGAAACGCATTTAGCGCGATTGAAGGGAAGTTGCCAACGATCCGACCACTCAATGAGTGCATCCAGGTCTCTCTGGAGTGTTTGGGCGTCTGAAACCTGGCTGACACTTCTGTACATCTTCGCGTCGTCGGCAAACATCTTGATGGTCGACGACACGTGGTCAGGTAAGTCATTTATGTACACCAGGAACAAGAGGGGCCCCAACACGGTTCCCTGGACTTGGCTGAACCAGCACAAACATTGTCAGAGATCTAGCCCTAGGACCTAGGTATATATAACCTTGCTCTAGTTTGCCTTACTTAGCACTGCCTAACCTAACTGAACACTTCCTGGCCTTAATCAGGCAAACCAAAAATGCTTTTTGAAATGTGGAAGAGTCCAGCTCATGCTTCAATCTTTATTGCTGAGACTTGCATTACATCTGAACACAAAACTGGTCTGACTTCACTGCTGATCCAAATGACACTCATATTACTTATTAGAGAAAGACAAGCTTGATATCCAACTCCAGTCTCCAGCATTGCAGGCCCGGAGTCAGTCGAAAAAGGTGGAAGCATGGTGCCTGCTTAACTTGAACTACCTTTAAGTACTAGTGTTGATGCCTGCACATGTACGGCAGCCACCGAGCCCCATTCCAAGATTAAGTATTTCATCCTAAAGCTGATCAGCAGCTGGGGGACATGCTTGGGAGATCCTAGCCAAGGCTATATATCTTAGCCCAAAATCAAATGAGCCAGTTGCTCAAATCAAAATGAATTACATAAGACAAACATCTGATAACTCATGTCCAAATTAAAATGCATTATGTTAGGGTTCTGTCCCAGCCCCGTCTTGTCCCGTCTTTCCACTTCGTAGTTAGAAAACACAACGTTTCAATTATCTTGCATTTTCCATACGACTTCTGGCACAGATACAAAAATCGTTCGGCACACAGCCCCTTCCAAACACCACACACAGCGTCCAAACTCCAACCAAGAACTCCTCTCGGCCCGCCAGAAAAACACCATTCCAGCCCCGACACGGGATTGGCCCAGAATCGACCACGCAACAAGTCTTGGCCAATCCCACCGCTACTACCATCCGATAGAAGAGATGGGCGCGGACAGTGGCGACGATTGAGTACCAAGTAGGCATAGGGATGGGAAAATAAACAATCTCTTCCTCCATCGACGTGAATGACGCAGCTCTAACGAATAACGGCGCAAATGGCTGCCAACCCGCTACCAAATCCAGTTTCCTCTATCGCTTACCCTCACATCCCCCTTCCCTTAAATTCACTAGGACGCGTCATACGTGAATCTATATGCCTAGTGACATCAACTCACTTCGCTGGTTTTGCTACACCAAACCAGTCGCACGAATCGGAGTATGGCAGCATTCGTACAGTGCACACAAATCAAACAAACATCCGACAGTAACATCGTTCTAACTTAACTCTTAACTTTAGGTCACACGTCCCACTACTGGTGCGTCATGTACCGGATGCTACCGACAGCATCTTCCATGTCTCAATCACACAATAGTTGACGAGTATCATCACACCATACCACTGGAATGTCAGTCGAGAAAACGACGAGGGCGACGCACCTCGCGTCCACATCTCGTTCTCACCACTGTCTCGGCTGCCCTGACCTCTAGGTCACCGGGCCCGGGTGACGCCCCCACCAACCGCGAAGGTGGCGCCACGGTCGCCTGCCCAGGTGCCGCCACTGACAAACGTTCACCGTCCTCACACGTCTGTGGGCGCTGCTCACCTGTCTCAGCACCTGTCGTCTCCAGCGTCCGCTCGTTAGCCACTGTCGTCCCCACCGGCCGTCCATCGGCCGTCACCACCATCGGTCGTCCATCGGCCGCGATCAACTCCATCGGTCGTTCACCAGTGCTTGCCTCGTCCATCGGCTGCTCTCCGGTAGCCGACTCCTCCAGAAGCTGCTCTCCAGCAGCCGTCTCCTCCAGCTGCCGCCTGCCAGCAGTCACCTCGGCCAGCTGTCGCTCGTCAGCAGCTGTCCCCGCCAGCAGCCGCCCGCCAGCAGCCGCCTCCGCCGGCCGTCGCTCGTCAGCAGCCGTCTCATCCAGCTGCCGCTCGTCGGTAACAGCTTCCGCCTGCTGCCGCCCGTCAGTAGCCGGCCATGGCCGTTCTCCGGCCACTGTTGTCGCCTCTGCCCACGGCAGGCCGCCTGCCGTCGCCACCAGCTCGAACTGCCTGCTATCAGCACCGACCGCCTGTGGTCGCCCGCCGACTGTGCTGGTCTCCGGCTCCGTTTCACTTTCAGATTCCACAGCCACTTCCCGGCTGTCCCAGGTATCAGCTCTCTTGAGATGCGCTCCATGGATCCACCTCCGTCGTCTTCCTTTTCTGAGTAGATAGTCCGGTGGTCTGCATTTGATGATTGAGTACGGTCCCTCGAACTTTGGCTGCAGTTTGCCCTTGACACCTCTCTCGGCACGGAAGTTTCGGCACCACACTGTGTCTCCCAGCTTGAATGCTCCGGTGGATTGCGCGTCAGTCCTGCGGCTCTGCTCCTGCTGCACGCGCTCAGACACCAGCTGGTGGATGTCCGTCAGCCGACCCCGTAGACTCTCCACGTAGCGCTGGTAGGTGCGCTGCTTCAGCTGCTCTCCGTCCAACTCTGCCCTGAGCACGGTTCGAGGCGAGAAGCCGTGCACCAGTTCAAACGGAGTGAAGCCTGTGACAGAGTGGGTACTGGTGTTATACGCGGCTGCTACTAAGGGAAGTAGTCCAGGCCAGTCTTCCTCAGCTGTGAAATGAGACAGCATTTCACACAGAGTCCTGTTGAATCGTTCAGTGACGCCATTGCAGCATGGTCTGTACACAGTGGTCCTCAACTTCTTGATTTTGAGCCGCTCACACAGACCTCGTACCAGTCCACTCTCAAAATTCCGTCCTTGATCCGTCAGCAGCGACTTCATTACTCCATACCTGCTGATCACCTTCATGAGACAATCTGCTACATCTTCGGCTGTCTGCGTTCGCAGTGCAAACAGCTCCACCATCTTGCTAAACAGGTCCGTCACCACCAAAACGTATCGGTAGCCCTGTTCGGTCCGAGGCAGCTCCATGATATCAGCAGCCCATTGCTGAAGCGGTTGACCCTCCACAGGCACCGCTCCTCTTCCTTCCTGGCACGCTGTCGTCTTGGACTTGTGGGCCAAACAGGATGGACATGAACGGCACATCTGCCTCACGTCCAGTCGCATGTTGTGCCAGAAGTAGTCCTCTGTCAGTCGGTGAATCGTCCTGCGCACACCTCCATGTCCTGCCGTAGGAACATCATGTGCCAACTCCAGCAGCTTCGTGCGCAGACTCAGGGGTACAAGTACCTGCGGCTTCTGATGGCCCTTTGACTCTCTCAGAATGATGCCGTTCTTCAGGCTGAGTCCTCCGAGCATGCTGTAGAACTTCAACTCCTTGACTTCACTGTCAGTCAGGTCCTCTAACTTCAGCTCTTTCCCTTGTAGATGCAGACTGAGTCTTCTCAGTACTGGATCCCTTGCTGTTGCCTCTCTGAACTCAGCCTCACCCTGAGTTGATGCTGACACACTGCCGACAACAACAGCTTCAACTGTTGCTTCATCAGCCACTTCTTCTCCATCCTCATCGTGACCTTCTGAGTCCACCACACGTCTCAGATATAGTCGGTGTAGTCCCTCGCTCTGTGGTACGAACTCCGCTGCGTTCACATTCAGCTGGCTCTCCTTGTCTGCTTCAGTAGGCTCGTCTTGTCTGGATAGAGCATCCACATGAGGAATGGAGCTCCCTCGTACATGCTCCACGGTGAAGTCGTATTCCTGCAGCTTCTCAAACCACCGGTACAGTCGACCGGACGGTGGCTTGGACTTCTGCAGAAACTGGATTGCCTCATGATCCGTCCTTATCTTGAAGGGCTTGCCGATCAGGTAGTGTCGATACTTCTTGACCGACTTGATGACAGCAGCCAGCTCTCTTTCGGTTGCCGACCAATTCTTTTCAGCCGGTGTCCATTTGCCTGAGGCGTAGGCAATGACGCCCTTTTCCTGGCTCAGCACAGCTCCCCATCCAGTGCCACTCCCATCAGTCGTCAGCGTGAATTTCTCCATCACATCCGGGAACTTCAGAAGCGGATACTCCTCCAGATCCTTCTTCAGCAGTTGGAAGTGTGCCTCGCACTCCTCAGTCCACTTGAAGGTCACCCCTTTCTTCAGCAGGTCCGACATCACAGCTGTCTTGCTTCCGAAGTTTGGAATATACTGCTGGTAATAGCCAACAAAGCCCAGAAATCGCCGCAGCTCCTTGACTGACCGTGGCGATGACCACTTGCGGAGAGCTTCCACTTTCTCTTCAGCTGGTCTGATGCCTTCGGTGCTCAGATGATGCCCGAGGAAGTCCACTTCAGTTACGGCCACTTTACACTTGGTTGGGTTCAGCAGCAGCCCTCCATCTCGGAACTTCTGAAGTAGCTCCTTCAAATCTCGCAGGTGTTCCTCAGTCGTCTTCGAGAAGAGGATGACGTCATCCAGGTAGATCATCACTTGTTTCCAGGTCATTCCTTTGAGTAGGTCTTCCATGATTCGCTGGAAAGTTGCTGGACTTGTCTTCAGGCCAAACGGTTGTCTGGTCCATTGATGAAGACCGAACTCTGTGGTGAAGGCGGTGACTTCCCGTGACTTCTCTTCCACTGGGACCGCCCAGTATGCTGCTCGCTGGTCTAACACCGTGAAGATGGTTGACCCCTGTGTCGCCTCCAGCATGTCCTCGATTCGTGGTAGCGGGTACGAGTCATGTTTGATTACCTGATTAACTGCACGGTAATCACAACACAACCTCATGCCTCCATCCTTCTTCTTGACGATCACTACTGGTGAAGCCCAGGGCGACGATGATGGTTCCACGAGGCCCTGCTCCTCCAGCTGATCCAACTGCTCCTTCAGCTGCTTCCTCAGGTGCAGTGGAGTGCGGTAGGCCCTCTGCTTGATTGGCCTGGCTCCTCCTGTGTCGATCACCAGCTGATGGGGTCCGTTGTACTCTCCTACCTCCTCTGGGCTCTTCGAGAACACATCCTCGTAGCTCTGCAGCAGCTCCTGGAACTGGGAACGAGCCGGCTCAGCAAGGTGTGACACATCAGGCAGACCCTCTGTCTTCTGCATGTGGCACAGCTCCGTATCCATCAGCTCATCCTGCCCCAGGACTGTCCCAGCTGGGATCACGACTTCATCATCACTCATGTTCAGCAGTCGAATCGGGATCGCTTGGTGGGCCAGACGTACCGAGGGTGCCATGACTACTCCATCCACCTCGGCTGGGTAGAACACTCTCGGCTCAGCAACTGTCACCCTGCGGATACTCATGACAGTCTCTGCCCAGGGGGCACATGTGACTGCACACCTAGCCCTCACAGTCGACCACCTCGGGATACTCCTGCCCTCAACTGTTAGTTGCCCTGTCCCACAATCGATAGTGGCCTTCAGCTGTTGCAGGACATCCATACCAATCAGCACACAGTCAGTGAGGTCTGCTACAACAAAGCTGTGGGGAAGGGTGGTGTCACCAACCTGCAGCATCACAGAACATCGTCCCATTGTCGTTACTCTGGTGCCGTTTGCTGCGACGAAGTGCTCGGACTCAGATGATGTCGCCTCCCGCTCCAGTTCCAGGTCATCAGCCACCTCCTTGCTGATGATGCTGGTCACACTCCCAGTGTCCACCACCGCCTGTACCTCCGTCCCATTCAGACAGATGACTGCCTTGACCTCCGCTGGCTGATCGGAGCAAACACGCCGCACAGTTCCTGATGCCTCCTGTGCTTGTCCCCCTCCTGGTCTGGATCCGCTTGCTTCCGCCCTCTGTGCCCCCGGCTGGGAGGGACACTGTCGCTGAACGTGGCCCCGGCCTCCACACCTGAAGCATGTCTGTGTGACATCCCGGCTTGATCCAGATCGACAGGCAGCTGCAAGATGTCCTCGTCGACCACAGCTGAAGCAGGTCGGGGCAGGATCCCGGCTTGATCCTGTCCGACAAGCAGCTGCCAGGTGTCCCTGACGACCACACTTGAAGCATGTTCGTCGGTGGTCTGGTGTACCCCTGGCTGAAACAGTTCTTACTTCCTTTGGCCTGTTGGTGTCAGTTAACTCGTTTTGAAGTTCTTCGGTTGTTTTTATTCTTTCAAGTCGCCTCACCAATGCTTCTGTATTAGTAGCTTCGCTGTCTAGTACCCTCAGACGCCACTGACTGGGTACAGCACGGGTAATCTGTTCAGCCACCAACTGCTCTTGGGCCTCCACACTCAGCTCTGGCATAGCAGCTCTTGCCAGTGTTTGCAGTCTTCCTACAAAGGCCCGAGGCTCATCTGAGGCAGCCATCTTTAGCTCATAGAACCTATGTAGAAAGGCTCGTCGTTTCTCGGCCGGTACCAGTCGCTTCATCACATGGTCCTTCGCCTCCTCCATGCTGGTGAGGGTGACGTCCTCTTCCAACTCTCTGGCCAGCCACTCATGGGCCTCCCCGAAGAGTGCCGGCAAGATGGCTCTCTGTTGACTGTCGGACCACCCGTTGGCCCTGGCCACTCTTGTAAATCCCCTCATGAATGTCTCAGGGTCTTCTCCCTCCTTATAACCACGGGGCTTGAAGACCGAACCGGATGGCTCCATTTCACTGGTCTGGCTATTTACGTTAAGATCAGATTGCAAAGTTACTGGTTTATTTTCCAAATCCTCAATATTCACTACCTGAACTTCCTCTTTTATCTTGCTCTTGATTTCACTCATGCGCCAGGATTGCCTCGCTCCGTTGAGTCAAATCCCACTTCTGTTGTTAGGGTTCTGTCCCAGCCCCGTCTTGTCCCGTCTTTCCACTTCGTAGTTAGAAAACACAACGTTTCAATTATCTTGCATTTTCCATACGACTTCTGGCACAGATACAAAAATCGTTCGGCACACAGCCCCTTCCAAACACCACACACAGCGTCCAAACTCCAACCAAGAACTCCTCTCGGCCCGCCAGAAAAACACCATTCCAGCCCCGACACGGGATTGGCCCAGAATCGACCACGCAACAAGTCTTGGCCAATCCCACCGCTACTACCATCCGATAGAAGAGATGGGCGCGGACAGTGGCGACGATTGAGTACCAAGTAGGCATAGGGATGGGAAAATAAACAATCTCTTCCTCCATCGACGTGAATGACGCAGCTCTAACGAATAACGGCGCAAATGGCTGCCAACCCGCTACCAAATCCAGTTTCCTCTATCGCTTACCCTCACAATTACATAAGACAAGCATTTGCAAATCCACTACCTAGATATGTACTAGGAACTATTTCAATTTACGCATAGGTACCTAGTCAGTAAGAAACATAGGTACATTCGCATAGAGACTGATGCTATCCTTTTCCACATCATTTCAATTTTTAAACTACAGGTACAAATGATTTTGCACCTGTAGTACAAAAAAATAAAAGCAAATGAAAGTTGTATCTGCCTACCAAGTGTTGAATTGTTTGTATATGTGTTGCACATACGAAGGGGCCTTGATACGAAGCAACACAGAATAAGACCCTACAAGAATTCTATTCAAAAGCATGCGATCAGCATACGCAAACAATGTTTCCATCAACCAATGCTCTGAGCAGTCAAATTTTTACCAATTTGCCTAGCAATTTGCTGCTATTGTTCACAATCATGACTCGTAGAACAAAGGGCTGATGCTTACTTGTTTGTGTCGCTTTTCAATTGCTCTTCTTCATTTATGTAAAGAAATCTTTCATATTTATTCAAAAATTATTATGTTGTAATTTTAAGAAAACGCACCAAAAAACAATGTTTTTACATGATATTTAGATGAGCAGATCTGTCAGATTCCAAAGATCTCTGCAAATGCGAGGATAAGTTGTTTCATTTTGATGATCATAGAACAAGGCTAAATTGATGTAACTGTGGATATTTGCAACAGTTGGTGCAAAAGACTTTAAACGTTTTAATTCTGAAAATCATTAGTCTCATATCCTTCCTTCACTAAATAAAAGAAGGCGACCATCTAATTCTACGACTCTACAAGACTAAAAGATGATTAAAAGTAGCAGGTCTATTTAATGCGCACTTAAAAATTTGATTTTTATTTGCTTACGAATTTCGTCAAAGAGCGAGTTTCGCAAATGAATATAATTTAAGATATACTTACAAGTGAGAGAAGAAGAATACTTTTTTATAAGTAGCCATATAAATTGGTATCACACTAACCACCACTTCTCGTCCTTTTTCCGGTCGTCGCGAAACGTGTCGGACGTCGGTCCCCATTCCGCCGTAAAATGTCTTCGTAAGTGGTGTAGATACTCATATCTGCCTGTGAATTGTTCTATTTCAGCTAGTAACAATGCTAATATGTACAATGTCAACACATGCTGGCTACCTTTTTTTGCCAAACGTCAAGACTTTATTTCAGTCGGGCGCACTATGGTATCGGCAGTCCATTTATGGATACGTATCTATTAAAGGAAACGTTTCCAAATTTGGAAGGCACTTTGTTCCATTTATGGAAACGCCAGTTCCAAAATTAGAAACGCCAATTTTTAAGCAGGCATATTTCTGTATTTCTTAAGTTAATAGTAATCTTTTCAGCTGGCATGTCTTTTCGTCGATATGTTTTCTCCCAAAACAGTAAAATCCAACAATATTTTCGTACGCAAATGGCGAATCTGATGCCCTGACGCAAACCCTTGTCAACGTTACATTTTTGGAAACTGAAGGTTCCAAAAATGGAAACTATGAGCCAACACAGGGCTCTCTCTATCGTCTGGAGGTTTCGAAAGATGCTCTCCAGAGATGGCGCTAGTAAGTTTGGCTGACATGACGTCATGCTTAAAAGTGATGGGTTTTGTGAGAGCAAATGTAATAATAGTTGAAAATTTTGGTTTTTTTGCTTAATTGAGAAAAAATAAACATACAATTGTTCAAAACAGCGTTTTTCTCATTCATCCTTCATTGTTTTAAGAGGAATATAGACAGTTTAAATCTTTTTTCCTGACCGCAATTCGCACACGCACTAAATTAAAAGCTGGAGTTTTGTGCGTTCGTAAATAGTGATTTGAGAGAATAAATTGACAACAATCGTTTGCACTTTTGCTTTACAATCATTTTTCAATGCAGATAAATGCATAAACTATTCGAAAATAGGCATATCTTTGAAATATTATGATTTTCCACAAGCAACTTTTTCCAAAAACTTGAACTACTTACAACTGACGAACGCATCCAATAATCTGGATGTCTTAGGATGAGTTCGTCATTTTTTCTCAAGGAAATACGATACAGTTTAAGCTACTTTACCGATTTATTAGGGTACTTTTGCCAATGAATTAATAAATAAATGACAACAATTAATCTCATTATCAACCATACTCGGAAGAATTTTCTTCGCATAAGCGCGAACACATCCACGCTTTCATGAAAAGTAACGCCTGTAGATGTCAGGACTGCTGCTTTATGTTTCGCAAGGTGGCGCAGCGCGCAGGGTACCGACTACCGAGGCTGAGGTCTCCAGACTCTCCACCACGATTTAGCTTGGAAATGGCCAATGGGGAAGGTCTCACCCAAGAAAAAAACGACGCCCTTTTACACAGCTGCATAACGAGAATGAATTATTGGCATAGCTGACCATACGTCCCCTCCCCCTCTCCGCCCCAGCTCAATTGGAAATATCGCCTTGACTAATTTCTCACTCTTCCCAGTAAACCTTAACATGCATGATGCAGATGTCCACTGCGTAAGTCGTGTGCTTGCGTAAGTGTGCCAACTATATAGTGCTGCCTACACTCTACGTGCCTACTGCTTCCACCATTGTCGTTATAATTGGTGATTCTCAGGTCAAAAGTTACACAGTGGTCTCAGAGAACAATCGTTTCAACAAATTAACGATTCAAACCGTTGCATTCTACTTATATTCCGGTCAGTTCTGCTACTAAACAATTCCGGCAAAACACTCTTTAGGTTATGTATTAGCGAACCACCACACAAAATTCGCCCAATCAATGGTCAGTTATTACTGCTGGGCTGAACCGTCATACGCTATATAGCCTATTGCAGTCAATATTTTCAGAACGATACCGACTGACGAAACACAACGTATTCGCGGATTCGCACATACGTTGGCACCCAGGTGGCTTGTCAGCAGCCGCACAAATTGAGATGGTACACCGTAAAGCATGCCTTTTCACACAGGCACAAGCACAGGGACACAAATTCTCAAAATCCAAACTTATTCCAATACTGGTCAAATACTAATAGGCATAAAGTTTTGAGGTTTTCTCGTGTTCATTCTTCTTTCAACACACGCGGCAGACTGCAGCAGAACATCGCACAGAGCTGCGCTGGATGCAGTCATGAGCTGGGACACGGTTTGTGACCAATGACCGATCGGGGGTGCCAGCCTCCTCCCGGCACGCGATGCACTGGCCGCCGCGCAGTCGATGTCGGGGCACCGCCGGCATTCGCCGACAGGGTTCCATCCGATTCGGTGTATTGGTGGCAGCCCGAACAGTGACCCACGCGAAGCTGGTGAACGTCGATGGCCGATGAGCGATGCCCTTCCGCGACCGGCGGTGGCAGTCGGTCCCACATCAAGAACAGATACCAGTCATGCGGTCAGTCGGCGACGGCGCGGTCGCGAGCCGATCTGATGGTCGCGCGGTGGGCGTTGCCGACGTCCACCGGGACCGTCGACTGGGGGAGCGCGGCCGCCTCTTGGCCGCCGCCTCTGGTCGGCGCGCTCGTTGCGCTGTGGGACGGCATCCACTGCAAGTCGTTCACTGTGAAGCGGTCGTTTGACCGGACCTGGCAGGCGGGGAAAGGGGGCCTCAGATGAAGTAAAACCATCCCTCAGGCCAGCTTGAGCTGGCTCTCCACCTCACCATGTTAGATAAGCGGACACCCTCGTGATCATCGCAGCGATGATTGCCAATTGGTGTGTCATTATGGGAGAGGATGCCAGCCTCCTTTGCAAGATAGTCTGCCTTTAATATAGTGCAGCCCGATCCATTGCCTGTGGCAGCAGACTGGGCTTGATAATGCAGTGCAGGACACACCAAACGTAAGCGGCCATCTGTACCCCCAGCGCAGTAGGGCTGACTCAACCAGAGTTGCCCTCCCCCCACCATTCTATGCACGTGATAACTGGATGGGACATGCCATGGTCAGCATCTGTTCAAAAGCTGCCCTAAGCATGTAAAGCTCCACTGGCATGCTCGAGCATGGTCACAGTCACTTCTCACTTCTCAGTTGAACTTCCAATGGAAACCCATCACAAAGTAGAGATCAGGGCGCCTCTCACACTGCAGCACACTCAACGACTGAGGCACCATCTCATCACTTGCAGGTGGTTCTTGCCAGGAGCAATGCCAGCCACACACATCACGTGATAACAGCAGTGTACAACTGCAATCTACAAGCATCCATGTTCTTTCTGGTTTTCTGCTGTTGAGATCCACTGCCATGCATGAACTTGATGGGCTTTTGTTGCGCTCCTCCCATGTGCAGACAGGTTTCTGCTGAAACAAAGCAAAGCAAATGTGATTAATAATGGCCCTGTTTCACCATCCAGACACTGTGTGCACTGGTAGCTACGGCATACCATAGCATCACTCAAATGACGTTGCATGTGATCTCTTAGTTTATGATGAATCGCGTTTGGAACAGAGTGAGATGTTCTGAAAAACCGTACCAAGAACAGAGGTTTGAGTTCAAATACTGCTAGCATGCTGCTGGTGCTGGTACCGCAGCGTGCTAGCGTTCTGGGATGCTGTCATATAGCTTAGCGTCACAGTGAACTTTGTTGACACTGCCATGGCAACCCAATGCTCTGACACACGCAGCGCACTGCAGTGCTCTGCCGTGAAACACCACCCATGAACGTTGGTTGCATGACCAGGATCGGAGCAGTCAGTGGCGGATCCAGGGGGGGCAAAATAGGCATTTGCCCCCCCCCCCCCAAACGGCATAATTTTAACATTACGCCTATGGACGATGCATGGAAAGAATCGATAAATTGTTTTGGTTTGCCCCCCCCCCCAAAAAAAAAACTCTGAGCTGGACAGCATCAGCATTGACATGTTATATAAAATGAGGTTTAGACTTCAGGTGGTCCCGGGTTCAGCACAAGGGGGCAAAAAATTGTCAAAAAATATTTAAAAAAATACCTGCCTTCAACAACACCTCATCTAATCACATATCTCAATACAATCACAATCAAAAAGCAAAAACCGTTTGAATAACAATGCAATATTTTGCAACCGCTGCACCATTACTGTCACGTACGCTATCCCTAGATTGGTTGCTGGTAAGTAGTGGTTGTCGTCATCAACTCGTCATGCAGCAGCTGATTGGGATGGGCGGGGCCTATTTTTATCCAGACGATAGAGAGAGCCCAACACAGGAAAAGGCATAAGCACCATATTATTGATATGTGGGCCTGTCTACCCCATGCCCTCTAATTAATTGCCGAGCTATTGATGCCGGTACATGTTCCGATATGGGTGATTTCCCTTTGCATCTAAATTTCGTATGAATGGTCCTCCAATTGCTTGGGCATAGTGCCCGAAAGCCGATGTTGGTACAATAATGCTTACGAAAATGTGTCTTCTGGGGAAAGTCCCCAATTTCTAGGCACCTACATAAACCCCAGAACTGTCCAACCGTCTTGCCTACTAAGCTGCTACTGCTTTTCCATTTTGCTTACGAAACCCACATTATAACATATTTTAACTGTTGCAAGCATGCATGCGTGACTGCAGTAAGCGTCGCGATGTGCCCTGAATTGTGGTTAACAGACTCTGGCTTCCCAAGAAAAGCAAGGCTTTATAAGTAAGGTTGGAGTTAAACTTCGGCCTAATCAGGCCGGTTCAGAAGCGCCGGTTCGCATTTCATGCTGTCGGAGCGTGCACCTTTTCCAACCTTCTCGTGGATTATTAGAAATGAGAAAGGCAAAAAGTGCTTCTAAAAACATTAAATGCAAATAAGAGTTGAAATACATATAACCTACTGCATCTGTGAGCTGTATGTAGTATGTACAACTTGAGTTAAAATTCGTCATTTGTTCCAAAAATGGAAACTGTGCTTCATAAAGCATTATTCAATGGGCCTTACACAGGCACTAACTGGAGGCCTACTGAACTAATACGGTGCAAAGTGGGCAATTAGTACAGTTTGAGCATTTCCCTATCCATAGAAATTGTTTATAACACCTTGTCATCGCTTTTTCATATAATTGAATCGTTTAAAACTGGACGACAGCTTGGATCGCTTCCGACAAGCAGTAACATATCAGACCTTTAATGCAATTATTTACATAGATTCTACGAACTTTCACACATTCGTAAGTTAAATGGGTGCTAAGAAGTTCAGTTTGCCCACTTAGAAGCATCTGTACGAAATATTTTACAACTTACCGCCTTCCAAAGCCGGAGAGACGATCTCCGCAGGTGGTCACCAACACGCCATTCAGGGCTTGCTTTACAGCAATGTAGGATATTAATGAATATCAGACAGCAAGTCTGTCAATTAAAAAATTGCCATTCTTGTGAAAATCAAATTTTTCCACAAAAAATGAGGCATATTTCATTAATGACACATAAAAGTTCACCTATCATGAAAAAATATATTGTTTACAAAAGGAAGTGGACCGTGCAAGCCTGTTCAACAGCCGATTTTTCTGTTCAACGTTGGAATTATGAAGCGAAATGCGGTCTTTTGATTGGTGGCCTTTGTTTGATGCGGAAATCTATGGTTTGTTGCGGAAACTACCGAACAGGTTTATGTGCTCCTTGCGTTTCCGAAAATAGAAACGGAGCGTTTCCATTATTGGAACAGTTGGTTTTTAGCGTTTCCATTTTTGGAACTTTCTTCCAAAAATAGAAACGTTTCTATAAATGGACTGCCGATACCATAGTGCGCCCGACTGATTTCAGTTTGCTTTAACATGGAGCAGTAATGGTTTCTTTTGTAGGTGTGATGAGGTGTTAATGCTATGAAATGTAATATTGACTTTATGTTCATTCCAGGAAAGTATCAAGAGACACTCTGTATGAGTGTGTGAATGCTGTGCTGTCGTCAGCGCAGGAGAAGAAGAGGAAGTTCCGGGAGACGGTGGAACTCCAGATTGGCCTGAAGAACTATGACCCCCAGAAGGACAAGCGTTTCTCAGGAACTGTCAAGTATGTCTGCCCAAACAAGTTTGGCCAGTGGCCACTTGTTCTGGGAAGTCCTTCGGGGCGGGCCCTCACCCAGGGCCTTAATAATTTTGGGCAGATCTCGCCACCTTAGGGTGATGAGCATCAAACCATGTTGTATGACACAGGTATTCAGCTTTGTCTTGTGCATGTTGTGTCACAATCGTGTTTCTTTTCTAGTCCCACCAGCTGTTAATTTTTTGGTGTGCTTTGTGTTCCATAACAATGGATAAACTTGATTAATAAGGAATATGTAGGACTTTCATTTTTTTTTAAAGAACAGTAGCTTAGGTTACAGTTTTGAAACAGTCTGCTTCAGAAATAGCTTTCTGGTGTCTGCACATTTGGCTATTTTGTCACATTTTATGATTATTATTTTCAGCTGGTCCTGATAAGGTAGAAGAAACTGAGATATTAAGTTTTTTGATGAATGTTTGATTTTTTTTTGTCATTCATATGCCCAAATTTTGCATGTCCCACAATATAATAATTGATGGCATAAGGTTTAAATACCTGCTAGCTGCTGTAATTGATTAATAGGTCATTACGGGCCCTAGTGCTCATGAACTAAAGCTTTTCTCAAAATCCTAACAGGTCAATGAAAGCTTGCCTAGTAGTGGCTCCTCACCAGAGCTCATGTGGGAAAGTTTGTGGTCCTAAAGAGTACACAAGTAGTCCATCTATTGGCTGTGTTGTGTGCTTTACTCAGAAGGTGATACTTATCCATCAGCAGCAGTATTCCTGTTAAAGACTCCTCACGGTTTTGCATTATGCAGTCATTTTACTGCCCTAGGTGGGAAACAACTTGACCTATGTAGACCGCTTGGATCCTGGGCTGGATTTGGAGTCTGCCAGACTGCTGATGTGTATTTTGTTTTTGCAACCAGAGAGGTGCTACCTTGAGAATGCTTGACTGGAAAATTGATTGCACCTCATTGACTACCAGCTGGCTTCATGGCTTAGTGGTTAGTTTGTTGAGTGTCTCGTAATCCATAGGTTGCTGGATCGCGACCGATCAACTATAGCGTTTCTGGCCTGGATGCGTTCCTTTGTAACATTTGGCTAGCCGCTAACTTTCGGGAAAGCTATAAAACATGAGTGCTACACTAGGTCGGTCAGGTTTGGGTAGGTTGGAAAGAAGCAAATCTGGGTAGCGCCCCCCCCCCCTTGGCTGCTAAAACGCAATACCCCTGCCGGACGGCAACAGTTCCACGCAACGTCACGAACTTTCCACGCAACGTCACGAACTTTCTTCGTCGTACGGGCCCAAAATGCCGTTCGATGTCGCACGAACGGCGAAGATTCTACGGAACATCACGTGGAATCTGCACTTTGGATGACTCCGAATCTGACAAATTTTGAACAGGAGATGATCACATAGTAATAACATAGCATGCATTCATTCAGAACAGCTTATATTGCGTGTAGCTCGTGTTAAGCTTGTAGTGTTGCGACCGATCTCCGCTGCAATGGGGTGTTGCTTTTGTTGCACAGGCTGCGCAACATGCCGCGCCCGTCGATGAAGGTGTGCATCCTGGGAGACCAGCTGCACTGTGACGAGGCTCAGGCCAACAACCTGCCTTTCATGGATGTTGAGGCTCTGAAGAAGCTCAACAAGAACAAGAAGCTGGTCAAGAAACTAGGTATGTAGCTCAAATAACTATTTTTGAAAAGCTGCATAGTTATTAAATGCATCACCGATGCCGTTTTAACTGTTTCTACAAAGAATGTGAAAGATGTATGATGAAAATTAATTGACGGTTGTTCCCCACAGCCAAGAAGTACGATGCCTTCCTGGCTTCGGAGTCGATCATCAAGCAGATTCCGCGTATCCTGGGCCCGGGTCTGAACAAGGCCGGCAAGTTCCCCGGCCTGTTGACCCACCAGGACAGCATGACCGGCAAGGTCGACGAGATCAAGAGCACCATCAAGTTCCAAATGAAGAAGGTATGTCCCCGCTGGCTGTGCCTCGTCGGATAGGGTGGGGCGGGGCGACTCCAGTTTATTTTTGCTATAAGTGGCCGGTTGAGAAAAGATATCGGCTTAGCGTAACGGTTTCGCATTGGCTTAACTATAAAACAATTTGTAGATGGTTCTTAGTAAGGACCAAGGTGTAATCATAAGGTGCTACACCGTTGCTAGAAGTGAGTTCAGTACTATACGCTAATGACGCTGATGTTCGCTCCTTTCAGGTGCTGTGCCTGTCTGTCGTGCTGGGCCACGTGGAGATGACCCCCGACGAGCTGGTGATCAACACCCACATGGCCATCAACTTCCTCGTCTCGCTGCTCAAGAAGCACTGGCAGAACGTGCGCTCGCTGCACGTCAAGTCCACCATGGGACCGCCCCAGCGGCTGTACTAAGCGCCTGTCTGAGCTGCAATACAAGGTCCGGCGACTTCACATGGTGTGTCAATGAGGATGGAGCGGGATGGGAGGGCGGGCCAACGACGCAATGGGATTTGGAAGTTGGAGTCGTATAGGTTCAGTACTTGTACCTGGCGCGGGCGCATTATCATCAGCATTCACATCACACTGAATGGCGACGTCGGACACCTAGAACTGGGTGGAATCGAAATTGGAACGGCGGCGTAGCGACACCTGCTTTCTCCGATATCCGCAGCCCAGACGTAGAGGTCGCTACTCTTCCAGGCTCAACTGCATAAATAGGTATCAGCTTGTTTTTTTTCTGAAACACTTCACGAACAATGAACATGAGCGTTCGCGAGTAAGGTGGCGCCATCAGCCGAATTCTAATGAACCATCTGCGAAGAGGGTGCAGATCAAGATTACTTTATCCCAGGTTAGTGGCTTGCCTTTAGGTGAAAAAAAAGTAGTGATCAAAAAGCCCCAATTTTGGCACCATCATGCTCGCCATGGTCAGACGCGTCGAGTGATGTACTGATTTGGGTGAGGTGAGGTCAATTTAGCGTGTTGACCTCTAGTCAAGAAGTTGGTTGAAGAAAGTCAAGGCATATCTTTCGACTAAGTGCTAGCAACGCAACACTGCTTTGAACAAAGTGACTGTCCACACGATTTGCGGCCCGGGAAAGCGAACTCGCTGTCAGGATTAGGGCCTTACATTGAGACCAATTATCATAATATGGCACAGCTGTCCACACATAATATGGCAGTAATATCAGAACAAGGTACCGAGAGTGCGAGTAATAACAACGGTCATTCAGTACGCTTGGTTACGGACTGCTAACGCTCGCCTCGAGATGCAATGAAACGCATAGGTACATTTTATTGGCACAAGAACTATCACACCAGGTGGGCGCCAGTGACGCCTTGAAGTCGACTGCTCACCAGCACACGGCACACGTGCATAGACACATTCGGTATGAACAGTGAACATGTTCTAATGACACATTAGACGCATGCAATCAATGTTACACACTACACAGCAACGAAGTAGCAACAGGATCAGTGGCCTCATTTTCATAAACAGTCCCATTACGTTTGAAACCCGTACTCCCCATCATAAGAATTATTTAATTTTCAAACAACACTTGCGGCAACGTGATATCAAATGTCAAAGCTCAGCTAAGCCCTGCTTTTACCAAGAACAGCCTGCCGTGGTTTTGATTCAGTCTTTTTATCCATAAACTGCGCGCCGGAAGACCACTGCTTATCACAGTCACTTCCAAACCTTGATCCTACATATGTAACTCTGTTTTCCGGGTCAGCTGTCGTGTACCACGGTGAAATAGTTGGCAAACAGCTCCTCTCCGGCGCGTATGTCACGCTGTGCGACCAGCACCACGGCCCGCATCGGGGGCGGTACGCGGGCCCGGTACCACGCGTACGGCAGGTACCGGCGGAGCGGGTACGGCACGGCCGGCAGGTCCACCTCCTGGTACCGGACGTTGCTCGGAAAACCTGACGAAAATGACGACGGCTAGTGACTATCACCTGCAGGACTGAATATGGACGGACGACAAATGAAACGAAAATGCAGTAGGTTGAAACGAGGCAAGGCTTTTTAACAAGCGGCATTGACGACGCATGTTTGCATAGGACTTCGTCTCAGATCGTAATATTTGTTGTTGATTTGTCGCATGCGTGGTGACACGTTGACGTGTGGCAGGTGAGTGGAGATTGGGTAATTTCTTCCAGTGATTGAAAGACTACTTTCGGCGAATTAAACTTTGTGATTGTTGTGGGCTGTGGCTGAGTAATGCTCGTTCTCGTTTTATGTTACATTTATTTCTGTTTCAGTGACATTAACTTTTGACTGGCATGCTATTGTTATGGGGTTTACCCATTGATTTCAGTTTCCCTGAAAAGTGAGAACCAAATTATAATTTTTTCTATGATGAGTACTGAGTACAAAAATCTTTGGTGTCTGGAGACACCAATCAGCGGCAACTTTGCCAACACTGGCAAGGAGAACGTCTGTTGAAGTCTTATGTGCTTGGTCGTTATCATCGATCATGTAACGGTACCGAAGCAACACAAAAACTAGTGCAGACAATACTCATTTCCTGGCAGTTGCAGTCAATACGGATAGATTTTGTTTGCGCAACGGAAGGATCTTATGAAGCATCGCACCATTTCCATACCTGGTGACTGATTATTGACGAACTGTCCCACAGCAAGCGGGTTGGCAGGCAGCTCGGTGCGCCAGGAGCGGTCGGCCGCCGGGTACGGTCCCATGTGGTCGCGGCCGGCGCACGAGCCGAACAGCAGACCACTCAGGCCGCCGCCGCGACCGTCCACGTGCACGCCGTCGGCGCAGGCGAACACGAACTGATTGCCGATGGAGGCGAGCAGCAGCGGGTCGCCGGGCAGGTACACGGTACCCGGGTACCATGCGCACACGGCGCCGGCCGGTACCGTGCCGCGGGTCACCACCACGCCGCGGCCAGCGGCCGGCACCGCGCTCCGCTGGCGGCGCACCTCGAACCCCAGTCGGCGCAACAGTAGCTGGCAACAGACAAATTGTTATCTTTACACCCTTATCCATCAATGCATGCTTCATTCAACATGAGTACACAGCGAGGCCACCTTTGATTGATAATGGCACCATAATGACACAATAACTGAGGTCTCAGTTAAGAACCAATGGCAAATGAATGAGCATCTAATGGTGCTTTGCTTACCTGATTTGCTTTCTCATGTTGCACATACTGAGTTTCAAATGGTGAAATATTTTCATTCAACAATGTCAAAACTTCAAAAACAGAATTAACTGCTGATTCATGGTGTACGATGCAATCTTGCTGTGTCTTCAGCTCTTTTCGCATAGATCTGGAAAACAATTATAATATTATTGCATAATACATATATGATGAATAATACTGAAAATACAAGGTTTGACATCACTAAAGGGGAGCAAGCAGCATTTAAACATGAAAGTAAAAAAGCCATTGAGAGGTACCTATTGTTATTGTGTGAGATTACTTTGTCATTGAAAGAATTATTGCAATTGTATTGAATATGAAAAGTAGGTAGGAAAGTCATTAGCCGCAATAACGGAGTACATGAATTTTTACTCTTCCATGTGTTTCATCAACATGCGTGCATGTTTTCCAGCTATCAAGCTCTTGCCACATACCTGTAATTTGGTCAATTGATTGGACATGTTAACTGCATACCTACCTGCCTATCTACTAAGCACCAACCTGTTTTTGAAGTTAAATATCAGCCATGGAACGAAACGGTACTTGTACGACTTCCATTTCTTCAATACCCATTTGATCATGGACATTTATAATGTGGGTGAAACACAGTAGGTATATAGAAAACTGAAGAACATACCATTCCAATGAGTATCAAGATTTGTGAAGTGTCACAAATCGTCTGTAAGATATTGATATTTATGTCAGGCTGAGACACTGGTAAATTATAAATATGCACAAATATGAATGAAACTTGGAACTGAACAACACAAAGTTCTATCATAATATTTTCCCAAAAACTCAAAAATATAAAATGTTCCACTTTCCATACAATGAAAGTTTCAGCGTCCATGACCAGAATAAGCTGAAGTTGAAGTCAAAAAGTAGAGACCTAATATTCCTCTTTTGATTTTGGTGACCATTTAATCGTCTGACGGCAGTATAATTTAAATGGCTATTTTTGTAGCCTGCAACCTCATCATCCTGCAAAGTTAAAATATGGCAGGATTATTTGAACGCCACAAATTTCTTATTTATAAATATATACTGCTCACTGAACTCTATACCTACTGCTCCACAATGCATTTCGAAGAATTTGTGGTCAGTGATATTTTGTATCACCTGCGTTGCAAATGGATTCTTCCCGGTCGAATATTTCCTTATAAGGTTAAGATGAGTTAAGATAATAAGAATATTTATTTCTGTCAAAAATTTAAGTACTCATAAAATTAATATTTCGAATAAAATAATGTTTAAATGGTATCTTGTGCAGCAAAAACAAACATTTTAAAATATTTGTAGCGTGGCTCATTTTTCTGCTGTGAATGTAAACAAACGGCAACAAGGCAGAACGGCAATAACAAATCTTGCAGCTGTTGTCGAATGTCCGGAAGCTTGTTGTCGCTTGTATTTCGTGGTTTTCCGGTTTTCCGTACCTACTTATCATTTCTATTTACCGGCTCTCGGATAGAAGAACCTTGTGCTTGCTGTTTTTAATCCTGGCAGCCCAGATTGAACGAAAAAGAACCTATTAAAGTAATTCAAAGCCAAGCAAGTCTCTCCAGAGACCAGAGTGAGAGGATTACGATAAGGTAAAAAAATTTTAAAGCGGGTAACGCGGGTAAGTTCGAAACAGGACTGGCATCACGGCTTCGACTGAGGGGAACGAATACTCTGGTTATTTTTAGGTCTCAGGTCAAAGGTCAGGTCACCAGCTAGGTCATCAAAAGGCCAAATTTTCCTTATTGTCGACCATTTTCGACAAACTGGCGCATAGGTAACTCCAACTCTGGTATCGATAGCGCACAGCACCGCGTAAGAGCGCATTCGATAGCTTTTAACGTTGTTTCTTGAGCGAGCTTCAAGATTTGACCTTAGATCAACAGTTTAGCTTCCAGATGGAAAACTTACATAGTATATATACAACTGTATAATACCTAGTTGTCCTTTACGAAAAAAATGTTTCTCTGTAGTAGATTTTGACTCCATATGGCTACGATATCGCTTTTGCGGGGATCGTGTTCCTCTCGTCGAGACGTGTCGAATGAAAAATAATTTCGAACCTTGAAAAGTGACTGAAAATGTGACCTGGAGTTTGCATATCACCGGAAAAGGTCATGTTGCATATCAATTCAGTCGATCCGATTCGTATCGCCAAGCTGAACACGCGCAAGGTATTTTCATCACTCTAATGTGTCTCAAAAGTTATTGTAAAAAAAAAACCGCTGGACACATTTCAAGACCTGAAATGACCTCAGAGGCATACAGAGGGATCAGCCGTTAGGGAGGCAATTTTCCGGCTCAGCGTGTCACATTTACCTGCTACATTTGATGTTTGAGAGTAGTTAGTTCGACTCGTCCAGAAACACGCATTTCAATTTTGTCTTTGGGTTGTAATGGAGACGTCGTAAAATTGACCTAATCTCATGCCTCATGGCTCATGGCATCGATACCTATCACAATTCCGAGACTTGTATCGTGTACATACTGATTACACTTATCAATCCCTGAAAGTTTCAAAGTGGTTGTTCAGTCGATGTAGGTAACTAGGTAATGGCGAGCATTGGACCTTTCTGAGGAAAAGTCGCATGACGTGACATGGTGACCTCACCTTGAACGACCTTGGTCTGAAATTTTCACAGTGTGTGCAGAAAAGATTATGATAAGTTGTGCCTAAAATTGTGGCTCTCCTAGCCGCCATTTTTTTTTTAGATATTCGCAAAAAAACCTGAGGGGAGGGGGGCGTAAAATGCGATTCTACGCCCCCCTAAATTATCATTTAGGGGGACGTAAAATCGCCCCCTCCCCTCAGTAAAGAGTTTGGTCTAGAAACAATAGCTTTGCTGAAGAGTTGTTGCGTAAATGCCCCATCTCCGTGAAGGTTTGTCACTTTTATTGATATTGATCCCTGTTCTCTAGAGATCTGCGGACGAAAATAATCAAAGAACAGTTATTCATATGGCATCGGCCAGCAACTGGCTTATGGCTAACCGGACATGTAAACCATTATTTATATTTGTATTTTTATCAGATGTCTCTAATGGTCGTACGTACATGCATGCATAGGTAACTGTGCCTGTCCTGGGGCGGCGACAGTGTCTAGGCTGTAGTTTACTCGTATACCTCCCTGGCGCGCTGGATGTACCTACATAACTATGTATGTAGTGTGAGGCTGGAAGCGGCCGGACAGCACACGGCCGGGCGATGGGCCTACCATCCGTCAGCGCCGCCTATTCAAGACGCCACCGGCGGTGACACGTCCTCGCTGGGCCGCTGATGAGCTACGGGACGAATATGCACGCCAGAAGAGGCAATCAGCTCTCCTTGTCTGTGTGTGACGGTGGTCGGCGGTGCGTGATCACTAGTGAGGTGCCACTGGTATGGGACTCTGCTCAGGTGAACAAAACGAACACAGGCCATATCACTTCATGACCGTTTGAAGCAGCTTAGAAGTCCCGGTTAGCACTTAGCTCACCAATGATATGGTGCTAACTGCTAAATCCATAACATGCGGATGCGACGGAACTCAGCAAGATATCTACCTGGACTTTCGCAGACGGATTCGTTGCAGCTTTTGGAACTCCTGTTGCTTTCCACAAACCACAGTGACAGGTTATTACGGAAAGGAATGCGAAAAAGCTCACGAATGTTTCCTTTGACATCTCTGTTGGTTTGCACAACCCCTGCGGGGCGCGGGCTACGGGTGAAGATCCGTACGCGAGTTCGCGGGCCACGACATCATTGTGATATATCACTCAGTAGGTAGATCAACGCACTCGACAATAATACACGTTCCCTTTGTTACTTGTAGCGCTGCCAGCATGGTTTTTTTCATACGAATATTTTTCCCTTCATGTGGTTTGAATTACCTTGGAATTACCTGCAGCTCATTTCTGATTCTCAATGCTCACGAGTTATGATCAACTTTCCTACAGGTCGGGTCGTGTCTTGTAGTCAGCTGACGTGTAACCACTTTTCAGATCACTCCTGCAGAGCAAAGATGTCGACTCTTCAGATGATGCGTCCCAAGCAGAGTCAGATGACTGGCACGGTGAGCACCGACTCAGTGTGTGCACGACGTACTTACGTGGCAGCGCGATGTTGCATGAACCGCATGTGAGAGGGAGAGAAGTTTTATCATCACTCAGTTTCCTAGATCTTTGCGTCTCGAAGCCGCTCAATAAAAGCGTTGAATTTGTCTTGGATCTAAATGTTCGCATGCAAGAAAGCAATCCGCGAAAATGCAAGCTTAACACCATTGACCGTAATAGGTCTGTTCCGTTGACTGTTTGTGTCGCGCGGACACTTCGCTAACGCTCTGTTCTATCTGCCGCGCTCTCCCGCAGTGGTCGTCGGTGTTCCCCGTGGAGCAGGCCACGGCGCAGCAGTCGGCCCAGTTCGTCAAGAAGCTGCTGGCCGTGGCCGTCTCCAACCTGACCTACCTACGCGCCATCTTCCCGGAGCAGGCCTTCGGCGAGCGCACCCTCGACGGCCTCCAGCTCAAGGTGCTGAGGGACGACGCCGGCTGCCCGGGCGCCTGGCAGATCACTCAGTGGATCAAAGCCTGCTTCGACGCACTCGACAAAAAATACGTGAGTATTGCCACATTGAAACTGAAGTCATTCAAGTAGTTGAATCATTCCCTGGTTGGCTACGATTATCTTTGAAGTCCATTTATATTCTATTAAATTATATTATATTGTATTTTATTGTGGCATCATAAATTATACTCGTATTATGAATATCCTCTCAGCAAGATTTGCTGACGCACAGTGCGGTCGGTCGGAACCACTGCCGCCATCAAGACGTCAGTGGCAGTACCGGCGGACGGACACTGACATGGCGCCGCTGACCGGCACGCCTGTCCGGCGGGCGGCGGCGGCCGACTCCCGGAACGGGCCTCCAATAATGGTCGCTCCATGGCGCGGCCACTGTAATAAAGGCCGTCTCAACAGAGACCGCCGCCGGCACATGGCTGCAATATTCGGCCCGAGCCGCGTCTCCGGTGCAGAGGACAAAACTGGACCCGGACGGGACTTTTTTAGACCTAGCTAGTCTCACTTTGGCTTCTGGAGTTCGACGTCTTGCTGAGGATAAATATTTGAACGCTTGTCTGGTAGCTTAGTTTCCAAACTGCTTACGAGAGGCAGAAAAGGACGATTTATTATTCGTGTATCGGAGTTTGGGGACGGATGGGAAGGATGGACTTGCGCCGCTGGCAACACACAAATGTGATGAAGAAAATGAGCAATTATAAATGATTTGGGCTATAGTTATTTTTTAAATCTTACTTATAATACTATATCGATTTTAGCAATCAATTGCATGTCATCACGCCTACTCTAGAAAGAACTTGTTGCGTCTCCATTATTGTAGATAAAATGCTAACTCCGGCCAGGCCAGGCCTTTTAACTCGGAACTCACTGAAAGGTGCTTCGTGGCACATGTAATTCGCACGCCCACTTTATGCTGCTTGCGCAAGATTTGGCCATTAACATTTCAGCCTGTCCATGACTGCCCAGTGACACATCTGACCGTCCCCAAAACCAACAGCGGCTTACTGTCCGTCCATCGCTTGACCTAGCCGTCTGTCTCCCGTCGCCGTCCCCACGTCTTCCTGTTGCGACTTGCGACCCTATCCTCGTTACGCCCTCCTGCGGTTACTGTCTAATGTCTATGACCCTGCTCCCGTCTTTGTCCCTGTCCCGTCTATAACTCGGCCCGAGCGCTGTTCGGCAGCCGGCTATTTTGTGTGCAGGGTATGACGTATTTCGCGAGCCGACGTCACGGGCGGTGACGTCGGCTCGCGCGCGAGCCGAGCGCCAACGACAAACTAACGGGAACCCTCGGACACCCTCGGGGCATAAACCGCGGAGTAGCATATTGAGCGACTCTTATAAGGAAAATTCATATATTTTCGTTTCTCAAATGATAATCAGGGTGTCTCTTACCTTTTTACATATCATTTAGGCTTACCTAATACTTCAGTTGCCAAATATCTGCAATTTATTCAAGCGAAGGTATTTTCAGTAAATATCAATGGTATAGACCGAAATCTTTTGAATAAAAACTCCAACCAACAGAAATAAAAATAACTAAATTTATTCCAACCATTTCCTCCAAATAAACAACATAAAAACTCACTTTTACACACATCATTCATAATAAAGCATACTAACACGCCGCTTTTGACAATTGCGGCGTCGAGTGGCGCGCTGCTAGCGCTCTTTTTCGATCGCAGAGACCCTGCACGCGCGCGAGCACACTACGTCACGTCCGGGGGCACAGGTATATGAAAAATCGCAGTGACGTAACACTTTTCTCGCTTCTCATTGGTCAATAGCCCGTTGCCGGGGTAACGTGCACGTATGTGAGCGCGGGCAAGAGTACTAGCCGGCCGCCGATCAGGGCTCCGAGCGCTGTTCGGCAGCCGGCTATTTTGTGTGCAGGGTATGACGTATTTCGCGAGCCGACGTCACGGGCGATGACGTCGGCTCGCGCGCGAGCCGAGCGCCAACGACAAACTAACGGGAACCCTCGGACACCCTCGGGGCATAAACCGCGGAGTAGCATATTGAGCGAGTCTTATTAGGGAAATTCATATATTTTCGTTTCGCAAATGATAATCAGGGTGTCCCTTACCTTTTTTACGTATCATTTAGGCTTTCCTAACACTTCAGTTGCCAAATATCTGCAATTTATTCAAACGAAGGTATTTTCAGTTAATATCAATGCTATTCGCCTCGAGACTCGCCGCTGCGCGAGGGTGGCGCTAGTGTAGTAAGAGGGATAGCGAACCCGGCGCGCATGAGACATTCAGGCTTGTATACGGTTTGAGTGCGGCGCGCAAGATAGGAACATTAGTTTTTTAGGGTGGTTAAGGAGGTTTAAGTGGGAATTTACAGGATTTTGGTCATTATTTTAAAAGTATTGATATTCGCGCTTTTGTAAGGCAGAATAGCTACCGCTCACATCAACACACAGCGAGGACAAGAAGCAATCAAGAGTCATGGTTTTTTATTCTAGAAGACGGCGAGGTCTATGTTGTAGCCCACATCTTTTTTAGATTACATGTTCTTTTGCATCAGTCTGGTTTCACTTGGGCCAATCTTGTCGGTCTGCTTGATATTTCTCATATCTTGGTTTATATAGATTGGAATTTGGATGTTTCTGCGTTCTTGATGTGGTGGCTTAACGAATTCCATTTATTTAGGGTCTATTCGTGAGAAAAAACATTCCCTCGTCAACGTCTAGTGGTGGGGCTTGTACAATTTGAGTTAATCTCACTATGTTCGGTTTTGTACGGTTGGTTGAGGTCACACTCATGGAGCTGATGGAGGATTTTGTGAGTCTCGTCTCCCCGTTGTCTTCTCTCTTCTAGGGTGGCAAGCTTAAGCCGACTCTGCCGTTCTGGATACTTTAACTCTTGCATTTCCACAATTCTTCTGGTAGCTGCTCTGTGCCAACTGCTTCATTCTTCTTGATATTAGATTTCTTATTAGAGGACCATACTTGGGGGCAAAATTCAACATGAATTGTGAGGGCGAACAAATGTTTTGTATGCTAGGCTAAACAATGCCGGACTCAGCTTTTCAAATGTTCTCCTTACCAGTTACCATGCCCCAGCTGGCATGTGGTCGTTGAGTGCATAGCTTAACCCTCGTCCGTATTGGTGTTTTTCCAGCCGCGAACGTATTATAAGGGGGGTCCGTTTGACCCCCCCCCTTGCCGTTTCGCCCCTGATCGAACTAGAGCTTCGCGGAAAAAGAGCGTGTTGCCCGTGACGAGAGGAAGCCGATGATACCCTACTTTAAGGTCCTAGGTCATCGGTTGACATTCCAGGTCAGGTCAATGACACAATAGTCGGGAAAATTGGGATCCGTTAGAACGTTGTAAGGGGTAGCCGCTATCAAGATTCCTTTGCTACTCAATGGGGCTGCAATGGGGTTTTTCGGGGTGCTGATCACGAATATCATATTAGTTTTGATTACAGATGATGCCTTCATGCATTTAGGCCAGGTCGGGTCAGGTCAGGTCAGGACAACCAGTAGAAGTCCTGCCGAGTATTTGTAGTAGGTGTCAACCGCCTCTGACATCTTTGTTACATGCTACGAAGACACCAAAACTATTTCGTAAATGTTCATATGGTTGCTAAATTAGAATTCAGCTCCAAAAACTAGCCCAGAAACATGCAAAACTTGAAAGTGAACCGAGGTCATCAAAGGTCAGTGACCTGACCTGACCTTCAGGTGACCTTGACACCCACCCTAATGCATGGGACCAACATCATACCACATGTCTGAACACTTGAAACCACGAAAAGACTGCAAACGCGCGGCTAATGCGAGCTGACATACGCCGAATCGCGATTCCGGCCAAACATGGTCTCGAAAAGTAGGTCACAGGTCAAAGGTCATTTGGGTCAGGGTTATGAAATTTTCAGGGTAGGTGGTAAATTGACTAAAGCGAGGGCACTGAAAGTTTTGTCGCGATCGACCGCTTTTTGCGCGAGTATTTCGCGGAAAACTGAGGGGGGGGGGTCCGTTCGACCCCTCTCCCCTACGGGGGGAGGTCGAACGGACGCCCTTAACACCCTAACGGGCGAAGGTTGATACGTGTGTTGAAATCCAGCGAGGAGTCAACAATAACACCTAGGCCTCTTTGTTCGTTGGTGTTCTCCAGCTTAGTACCACCAAGCGTGAAGATGGGCCTACTATCGGGCATCATTTGCTTGGCAGATACCTATTCGAAGAGTCTGACACTTTGAGGCATTATAGACGATATCATATCTGCTATGTAAACTTCGTAATCAACCCCTTACAACCTTAAGTTCCCACACTCCTCCCCTCCACCGTACTCTCGCCGTGTAACTACGTGCGCGTCGCCGCTCGGCACAAGGCCCTATATACCGCTCGGCACAAGGCCCTATCTCGGCATCACTCTTCCTCCTATGCAAATTCCTGCCACCAGATGTCACCCACTTCGCTGTCTCGAGGCGAATAGACCGAAATCTTTTGAATAAAAACTCCAACCAATAGAAATAAAAATAACTTATTTTATTCCAACCATTTCCTCCAAATTAACAACATAAAAACTCACTTTTACACACATCATTCATAATAAAGCATACTAACACGCCGCTTTAGACAATTGCGGCGTCGAGTGGCGCGCTGCTAGCGCTCTTTTTCGATCGCAGAGACCCTGCACGCGCGCGAGCACACTACGTCACGTCCGGGGGGCACAGGTATATGAAAAATCGCAGTGACGTAACACTTTTCTCGCTTCTCATTGGTCAATAGCCCGTTGCCGGGGTAACGTGCACGTATGTGAGCGCGGGCAAGAGTACTAGCCGGCCGCCGATCAGGGCTCCGGTTAAGCCCGTTGTACACGGGCAACTCCCGTCGGCAACTCCCAGCAATCGGTTGCTCGGCGACAGCCTTTTCTGTTGCTCTGGGTTGCTGAAGTGCTGCCAAATGCTATTCAGGGTTGTTCAAAAATTGCTCAATATGTCGGCAACATCCGGCGATCGCCGACGGTCGCTGAGCGTGACGTCACGATAATTATCACCAATGGGCGAGCTGTTGCTCTCGAT